AACTTGTTGGATCGGTGACGACCAGGTTCCTCATTCCCTGCAGCTGACGCAGATGCCTCTGGACTTAAACGGGCATTTATGGCAGAGAGGCTTCTGTGCGGGCTCGGGGAGGAATGCGTGGCCACGCTGTCTGATAGATGAAGTGGAGGCTCCCTGGGCCCTGGCAGAACAGGGGGTGGGGGGCGTGCTGAAGGGGGCGTGGGTGGCCTGGAGCAGGAGGGGGTGGCGGCCAGGTGTGGGCAGGCTGTGGCCTGGCACCAGCCAGCGGCCTCGCCATGGCCAAGGAATCTGGCCCCGCTTCTGGCAAGGGCATCTTGGCAGGAGCGGGGTTCTGCCCGGGGTGCTAATGTCCTCTTAATTAGCCAGGCACTTGCCAAGCACTGGCCATTATGGCTTCACTTTGCAAAACACGCTCAGGCCTCAGAGTTGGACCAGTATCTGCCATATTGTGAGTTGGGTTGATGGCCAGGTGGGGCCTCTGAGCTGCCCGCTGAGGCCAATCCAGTCTTCCCCTTAGGACATCATCATCCGGGAGGATGACAGAAATACAAACAACTTCTAGGGACACATTTTCAGTAAAAGATACAGGCCAGGCCAGACGCCATACCTTTGCTGCAGCCGAGCCTGGATCTGTCCTGCCGAACTCCTATTCAGCCAGCACAGGGGCACAGGGTCCAGAAGGACCTCCTGGAGCTCACGGTCAACTCCAGAGACCGCCCCCTGCCCGGGACAACAGACAGCTTAGCACGGGGGCCATGCTGGGCCCCTGCAGGTTTGGTACCCGCCTTCGAGGGGCTAGTTCGGGGCCAGGGCTGGGAGTGGGTTACAAATCTCTTGGCAAATCCGATGAGAGCCATGAGCCTGGGCACCCGAAACCTGCGTGTCCCTCCTTAAAGCTGGGCCAGAGCCCCTCTGTTCTGCCCAGGCCTCAGTTTGCCTATTCGTAACCTGAAGGCCCTAAAGCCAGAGATTGGCAGCGATGTTTGCAGAGACAGTGATGGGGTGACAGCCCTCCTTGGCTCTGACCTGACAGTGCCGGGGTGCAGCCTGTGGCCCCGGATGGCGCAGCTCTCCTGGGCCCTGCGGTCAGCAGGGGAGCCAGGCCTGGCAGGGGCCCGGCCTTGGAATCAGCTCCTCCCGCTGGAGAGGCACGTGTGAGGGGCACAGGCTGTACCAGGCTGCGCGGAGGGGACCAAAGAGGCAACGGAACCACAAAGACGCTATTCATAGGCTCTGAGCCACGAGGACGCTCACTTTGGGTGGACTGAGCCATGGGCGTCCGTGTGTCTGTAAAGTGGGAGGCACTTCTGGCTCCTTCTGCAAACCTGAGCCACGCCTGTCTCCTTTTGAGAGAAGGGAGACTGAGGCTTGGAGGGGGCGGGGAGTCGCACCCCTGTCCTTTTATAGACGGGGGCTGCGATTTGCCCAGGGCCACCCTGGGGGCACCAACCCCTGGTTTCCGGACAACTGACCTTCAAAAAGAGCAGGCAGAGCCCTGGGCAGGTGTGAGGTGAGGCCTCCAGCATCTCACTGGGGCTCCCAGAGGCAGAGGGAGCTTGTGAGACTGTAAAGCTAGTGGGGGGTGGGGCAAGGAAATTGAGGAAGTGTGGGGACGTCCCGCGGGCTGGGGAGACTCAGGAAAGTACCACCACGAGGGAGGGTGCACGGCCAGGAGGCGCCGCCTCGTGCTGGCTGCTTGGGGCTGTCTGTGAGCGCGCAGGCGATGGTCGAAGGCCTGGGTTCGACACCTCCCAGCTTCGTGATATCGTCGTGCTGGTTTCCCCCGCCCCAAGAGTGATTATTTTTTATTGAGGTAAAATTCGCACAATGTAAACTTTCAAAGCGCACAGCTCTGTAGCACTTACTGCGTTCACGGTGCCGTGCGGTCACGTCTATCTAGCTCCAAGGCCTGTTCACCCCGCAAAGAGACCCCCTCCCATTAAGTAGTGCTTCCCCACCCTGCCCTCAACCTGCTTTCTGTTTGGTCCTGTGTCTTCACTTCTCAGTCTCCTACCTGTGAAGGGAGGATGACAAAGTCTTGTCGGAAAGTTAGAACAGAGAAAGCCCTTGGCACAAGACCAGGAGTTATGATCCGTAGTGATTTCATGCTGCCTCCCCCACCGGACAGAGGGCAGAGTCCAGTGGGACGGGTCCCAGGGGCAGGGAGGCCGGCTAGGACAGGGGAGACGGGGGAGATTTCTGCCAGGAGGAGCCGCAGCTGGTCCAGGATGGAAGCATCGGGCACACGGAAGAGCTCGGAGGTACCCTGACCATGTGCCAGTGACAATGGGGTGGAAGGAGCTGTGGTGACAAGGGACCTCAACCAGAGGAGTCGCCAAGGCATGAGAAGCAAGATGCAGAGCAAAAAAATGGAAGCCGAAACCAAATAAAATCCTCGAAAATAAAGCTACACCTTTCTATGTCTAAATATCTATTGATAGCGCCTATCTCGCGTCTCTCGATCAAAAATCACTCTCTGCTGGGCACCATGCCACTTCCCTCTTGTTTTCCCTGAGTCTCTGTTACACTGGGCACCTTTGTGTCCCGCAGGGTCACAGGGTGCTGTTTGCAGGCCCTGCCTTGGCTCCCTCTGGGGAAGGACGGGAACACGGACGCGATGTCCCTGGGCCCCACGAGATCCCAGGCGCCACCTGAGCTGCTCTGGAACGAGGGCATGGCACGGGGAGAACGGAGATGCCAGGCTGAGGCCAGGTCCGAGCCACTCCCAGGCTGGCCACCGGGCGCCTGACTGCCTGATCCAGGGAGGGAAATGAGGCCACCCAAGGGGAGGGCTGCTCAGCCGGCCCCGAGCCCAGTCTCCTGGGTGAGGATTCTGAGCCTTAGAGACTGAGACCCCTTCTCGCCTGAGCAGCCTTGGAGAATTCTCTGCGCTCACCACTGACGAGCTGGGGCTGTCCAAAACGTGCACCCCAGCACAAAAGTCAAGGAGCGGACACTGGAGTCAGGTGGCCTTGACCCGAGTCCCAGCTCTGACACACACTTGCCACGGACAGAGGACAGAGTGAGCTCCCCGTCGCCAGAGGCATTCAAGTCAAGACTGGACGACTTTGATTTTTCGCGTGGTACCTGACCGCGGCCAAGGAAAGACAGGCACAAAACAGTGTCGGTTTGGGGTTGAGGGGTTCACCGTTCGGAGCGGGTTCTGGCCAAAGCATGGCATCGACGGTGGCAGCTCAAATGTCCATCCACGTGGCACATTCATGCCATGGAATATTATGCGGCTGTGAAAAAGAGGGAGCCACTTGCGTACTGGGACAGAATCCATATTAAGATACGTCAGGTAATAAAAGCAGGGTTGAAAATACCATTTAAAAACAAAGAGAAGACTAAGAATTCAGACCCATGTCTGCATGTCTTTACGTAAAGAAAGGATAACACGAGAAATGAATCTAACAGTAGTTACCCGCGTGGTGGAATTGGAATGGGGTTGGGGGGAGACGAGGCCTTTTTACATTCTTGGGGGGTTGAACTGCATGAATGTATCGCCTGTTCAGAAAAGAATTTGAAATAACAATAATTTAGTTCCACATCTGTTGAAACTGGCTTCAACTCTTCACATACTGATCCAGCTGACCTCGCTCCCCCTCGCCCCGTCTCTTGGACTCATCCACCTTCCCCTAACACTTCAGACTCTATTTTGTTCACTCAATCCGGATTGGCCTCGTCCTTGGGGGAAATCCAACGTCCCTCATCTGTGTCCCCTCCCAATAACTCTGGTCGATTTTAATTTATTCAACAAATAGGCACAAGGCTCTGTGCTCCTGGCCGATAGACCCTAAATGCCGCAAAGACTTCGCCATTGCTCTGACTACAGGGCATGGGGCCTGGGGGTTCCTGGGGACACAGAGCTGGAGGGAGTCTGGCCCATCTGTGTCCCAGGACCCTCCTGTCGACATGAGTGAAGAAGAAAACAGCTGGCATTTATTGGGCTCTGCCCACATGCCAGGCAGTCATAGGTGCCTAATGTGTCACCAACTTGCCCTGGTTTGTCCAAGACCTTCCCAGTTTGAAAACGGAGTCCTACATCCTAGGATGTCCCTCCATCCAGCCTATGGTGTTGGTTCCTCCAAAGTCTCAAGTACTGTCCCCAGTGGATGCAAGCTCTATGTCCCTTTTAGGGATGGGAAGTCCAAGGCCAGAGATTTGCATTGAATCCAGGCTGCTGCTCCACCCAGAGGACTTGCCAGTCTCTCCATCCCTCAAAAGCATCCCTTGGGAAGGTCTGGCCCTGCTCCCACCCCTGGCCTGACTGACGGGCAGGAGGCGCCAACCTGAGCCCCCTTCCTGGCCTCCAGGCTGCAAAGTTGCAGGAGGGGGGACAGGGAGCTGCAGACCCGGGACGGGGGTGCCACCCTGCCCCAGTCCAGTAGGCAGCTCTCAGCACTGTCTAGCCATGCCACCAGCCCCCCGCCTGGCACCCCGCAGCCTTCTCTAAATGCCTGCTGTTCTTCATGGCCCCTCTCCTCCGAGCCTGGGTAGCTGGCTAGAGGAAGGTCTTTCTGGGGACTGGAATGGGTCCTGGGGGTGGCCGGGGACAATGTCTGAACTCCATGCCCCCAGGGACTTTCAGGGAAACTGAAGCTCAGAGAAATTAAGTGACTTGCCTAAGTCAGCCAGCCAGCGAGTGAGACCCTGGGTTTTAAGCCAGTTAAACGACCTCAAAATGAGGAACTTCCCGCTCTCCAGGGGGTGTGCTTTGTGGGAGGGGATGCTATGGGTGTGCCCGCCAGGGGCTCTAGGCCCTGCCAGTAAATCCATTTACCACACAAAGGTGAGAAAGTGACATCATCTTCCCCTGCAAGACAAAAATCCCTGGAGAGGGTTGCCTGGTGGGGAGGGGGGGAGGCACAGGCCACAAACCTACCGGCTGGGGAGCCAACGCAGTGCCCTCTGCTTTCGCCTAGAGACGTCGTGGGCAGCCTGTGGTCAAGCTGGCATTCCAGGGGCCTGCCTGGCATGTGGGGAATGTCCCAGCAAAAGTCTCAGCCTTTGGAGATGCTCAGAAAGGGGAAGTGTCCCTTGATGGGTCGGGGGTGGGTGTCTGTAGAGGACGACCTCTTTGAGGGAGGAGGATGGAGAGTTGGGGTCCTGAAGGGTGAGGGTGTCACCCCTCCTGTGTGCCAGCTCAGTGTCGGATGAAGTCAGGGCCTGGGATAAGAAGGGGAAGCACACTGGCCCTAGAGCTGGGGCCTCCGCCCCGGTCTTCTGGGCTGTGCTGCCCGGAGCGTCACATCTCTGACCCGCCCAGTAAAAAGACACACTACTCACCCCACTGCCCCATCGACCAGAACTCTGTGGCTTCTGTGTTCCCACAAGGGGAATGTTGGTCACTTGTGGGGGCCACTACCACAGAGACTTATTTTGGCCAGCCAGGCCTGGTGCTTGGGCCACTGGCAGGGGGCTGGGGGGTCCTGAAGGGCAGTGTCTGGGGAGGCAAGGCTCATGGGACAGCCCCCTCTGGAGGGCCAGGCTGCAAAGCCTGGGTTGCGTGAGTTGGGGTCTGCAGAGCCCTCCCCAGGTCCAGGCCTACCAGCGCCCCCAGCCCCCATCAGCCCACAGGGCCTCGCAGGGGCCGCTCTCGGCGCCTCCACCCGGCACTGATGTCTGTCTCAACCCCAACCCGGCTCGTCCTTCACCCCCGCGAGGCTCGGGGTGAGGGGTCCCCCGCAGCGGGTGGGTCGTTTGGTTGCGGCGCTGCGGGGGTGGGGCCCTGGCATTGGGGGGAAGGGGCGGCGGCCGAGGTCGAGGAGCTACGAGGCGCAGT